TGTTTTAAGGAAAGTATTAAGACTTTATTAGCAAGGAAGTATAAAAACTTCTTATGAACATCTTTTTTGTGTGTGGTCAGAGGATCAGCGGAAAGAGTTTTTTATATTTTGGTGCTTATTATTTGAAAGGATGAATAGTATATTAGATAGGTTTTTAAACAAATTTAACATTAAGAAGTAGAATTATAATGAATTTTTAATCTAGATTCATTGTCTAATAGCCATCAAAATATTGAACCCAAATTAATACAAAAATTGATGAATGATTATTGAATATTAATCTAACTATGTTCTATTATAATAACCAAGGACTTGAAATTTTAAATAATTGATTAAATATTAGTTCCATTTCTAAACTAGATCAGTTTTCAATTGACAAGTTATATTGATTTTAAATAATATATATAATATTTATAATATTCATGAAATAATAATTAATAGATTCAAATATTTTTCAGATAAATTCTTTATATCTGAAAAAATCAAATTTAGAAATATTTGTTGAAATATTAGATTTATTAGTCAAATACTATGAGACATTTTATGAAACCATGGACTTTTGAAAACTATTTATGAAAAATAATAAAAATTTGATAATTATTTGAAATAGAATAAATCAATATTGTAGATGTCAAATTGTAAGTGAAATATTTGATTCTGTTATATTTTTACAAAATATTAAGAGCTTATTTATATTAGTTAAATTTGTAAATTATGATAAAAGTATTAATTTATATTCAAGACAAGTTTAATTCTTCTTTATATATTCAGTAAACTTTCTGAATAATGTTATTGAAGATTGATTGGTCTTTATTTAGTAGTATAAATTGATTAATTCGACAGAAAATAAATTTTATTTCAGATCTGAAAATGATGTGAATATTAAATTATAAAGTACCAAATTTTACTTAGTTAGATATGAATGCATAATCACTATTTATAATATTTTTGATCAATTTATTTCATTTAGATATAGAATCTCAAATTAACAAGATGCTTGTGAATATTTAGCTATAATTTCTCTAAATTATAAATATAATATATAATTAAAAATTTGACAAATATATGAATTTTGACAAAATTGAAATTTTGACAAATGTTTAATGATTTTTTGAGAAAAATTTTAATAAAATATATAGTAAAAATAGTGAAAATTATATGGCAAATAATGTTAAATTATATAATAGAAATTGCTTGATAATTTATGTAATAAAATTGATTGACAATTTATAGATTATATGATAAAAATTGATTGATGATTTATTTATATCATTAATATATCAAATTATTTGTTTTTTGATGAATATTACACAAGTGGCATTATGCCAAATAAATATTTTTTAACTAGTATAAAGAATTTTATTTTATTTATTTTCTTATAATCTACTTGAATATTTTTAGATATACTCTTTTTCTTTTTTTTAATCCATCATTTTGTAGTTTTCTATATTTCAATGACTTGATAGGATATTTGATAGTGATAACCTGCTGGCAATAAAATGGTAGACTAGAAGGGTCTTTATTCAAAGTTTATTATGGAGCAAAATATTGTTTTCAAGATTAAACTTAAAGATTATTATTGTCTATGATAAATTGGTTATATTTGTTATTGATATTTAACTATAGTATATATTATGCTGCTTGAATGAAAATATACTTATGTTTTCAATTGATTAATAAACTATGATCTAGCCTGGCTACAGGTACTCAAAAAAAAAAAATTTTTTTTATATATAAAATCCATCAATAAAATAATACCTATTTTTTTTTTTTTACTTCAGATTAATATTTTATAATAAAATATTAATTAATAATTGATAAAACTTTAAAGATATAATCATGATAATTTTATAATAAAAATATTAAAGTTTTATTTAAATATAATAATTATTTATTAAATTATAATAAAAAAATATTTGTCAAAAACTTTTGCACCAGACATATCTATTTGATTTGATTTATAAATTCGTAATTAGTTTAAATTAAATAAATTTTTATCTATTTTGCAGTATACAGTATATTATCTTTTGTCTTACAGAAATTCAATAATAAAAAAAATTATCAACTGTTATCTTAGTATTAATGACTGTTAAAAATAAAATCACGGATCATCAATTAAAATAATTTATTTAAATTCAAGGAATGAAAATTTTATAAATCAATATTTCATACCGAATACGATTAAAATTATTATCTAAGATCTAATCTTAAAGTCTACATCTAAACAGGTCTTACAAAATCAACAATCGAGAAATTCAATTTCAAATCATAGTTTAAGCGGTTGAATCAGCTCCTTTAATCTCCCTCTTTTCTAGAACTCTGTCCACCAAACCAAACTCCAATGCTTCTTGCGCAGTCATAAAATAATCTCTCTCGACTGCCTTTTCTAGTAACGAAGAGGAATAAATATTAAAACACATGTCTAAATACACATTAAACGCTTAAAATCATTCACCAATTTCATCCAAGGTATGTTTATTAGTGTGCTTTTGATAAATTTTATTTAGTCTTTCCCGCACTCTTAGAATCTCTCTTGCATGAATGGCTATGTCACTTGCTTGACCCGAAGTACCACCGATTGGCTGATGAATCATTATACTAGAATTTGGCAACGCATATCGTTTTCCTGGTTCACCTGTTATCGTAGTTTAAAACAAAATAGGATAAACCTAATAATTAATAAAATATTTATTAATTTAACGTCACTTACCAGAGGCCAAAAGTAGTGAGCCCATTGAGCATGCTTGACCATTACAAAGCGTTGATACAGGAGATTGGATATACTAGATAGCGGTTTTGAAAGTTGAACGTGGATTTTAAGTAATGCATTTGCATACATGCTGCCCATCAACGCGAATATAATATTACCTGCATCTTTTTCAGATAAAGGGACGCGACAAAGATCAATAATTATATGTGCATAATTATAAAAAGACTAATCACCGTTCATTTGAATCCATAAACTTACAGTATCATAAATAGCCATTCCAGCAGTAACACTACCACCAGGACTATTGATATATAAACTAATGGGTTTTTCGGGATTTTCGGCTTCGAGAAACAGCAATTGAGCAACCACCACAGCGGCAACACTATCTTCTATCTTCATGTAAATTAAAAAAACACATTTAACATAAATAACCATTTTTTTTTAAAGAGAACATTTAAATATAATTGGTTTAATCAAGACATGTAAAGTACTTACATGGCCATTCAGGCATATAATTCTTTCCTTTAAAAGCCTAGAAAATATATCGTAAGAACGTTCTCCTCTTGACTAGAAAAATTTATTTAAGTGTTTTTCGATATAAAGAAATGTATTTGATATTTAAAAGAAAGGAATTATTACCGTCTGTTCGACTACAAACGGTATCAAGGCCTGGTCCTTAGGGGCAAAATGTGATTGATTTGATAAATTATAGCTTGTAAAATTCAGTGAGATTGGTTTTTGTTGTCTATGTGGACGTTCGCCATGACGCCATTAAACGTTCTTAGTAATTATACCAACAGTTCCAAGAATCATAAAACGTAAATACTTTTTAGACGCTAGGCCTTTTACGCTAGTGAACGATACCAAATTGCGGAGACTTTGACGCGTCAATTTTCCTGTGAATAGTAAAGACATTTTCAAAAAAGTCAATGGCTGCTGATCGAAAGTTTGATTTGATATACTGTAGTTTTAATAATTAATGATTTACAGTACTTTTAAAAAATAATATGACTTGTCTTTTTTTTTTTTTTTTTTTTTTAAACCCGTGGTCAGGCCAGTATTGTATGTTTATTAACATTGAGAAAACCGATTGAGATACATAGGGCAATTGCATCATGACTAAACTAAAAGACTTGTATTGACACACTCATCAATGACTTTCAATTCTCAAAAGAGTTTCAATCTCTAAGTGCAACCTTGGGAACAATATTTTGCTCTGAACTAAGTTTTGGGTGAAGATCCTCCTAACTTCTCATCATTGTTAGCAGGTTGTCACTGTTTATTATCCTCCAAGGAACTGAATTTGAGAAACTATAAAAGGGGAAAGGAAAAATAAAAGAAAGAAGAATATCTAAAAATACACAACTGTGTTACATAAAAATGAAAAGAAAAAATAAAAAATAAAAGTGTTCCATATCCTCCAAAGGATCTCTACTGGAAACCTCTTCTTATTAGGAATCAACTTTTCTGGGATATTCTTCTTCTTCCTAATTATCTAAGGAATTTATTCATTCATGCTCTTGATTATTTTCTTGTGATTATCTGAGGTACTTATTATCTACTTGAATCTAGTGTCTTGCTCAATACTTTCTTTCTTTTAATCTTAATTTTATATTCACCCATGCAGAAAAAGGCAACTAATGGTGAACCCCAGGTTCTTGTTGAGTAATTTTCAATATCTTCCAGCAGTCATGCCTAGTTAAAGGAATTTTACTAGTATTTATTTTGATTGTAATATTATTACACAATATCTGAGATAATATGACTTGTCTTTATTGCAAGATACTTATAATTTGTTGATTGACTTATCTATTATTAAAGTTATTTTTTTTTTTTGAGTATCCACAACCAGGCTAGATTATAGTTTATTAATACTCTAGTAGTATGATATATACAGTATTATAATATATTTCTATCAAATTTAACAAACTTATTATAGACAATAATAGTTTCTAAGTTAAGTCTTAAAAATAATATTTTGTTTCATGATAAATTTTGAACAAATGTCTTACTAGTTCACTACTTTATTATCAACAGGTTATCCCTATCATATATCATATCAAGTTATTGAAATACAAGAAATCACAAAAGGATAAATTGAAAAAAAGAAAAGAAAAATATACAAATATAATAACAAAAAAAAAAAATAAAAAATAAAAAAATTAAATACAATAAACTTTTTTTCAATCAAAAATGCCTGATTTGAATATTCTTTTTTCTTATAACTATCTAAAAAATTTATTTATTTTTAATTTTGATTTCTTTTTTATATATTATATTTAATTAAAAATTTACTGATAAATATTTTTCATTATTTAAAATAGATTTCTTAATAATTTTTTTATCTTGTAATAGTAAAAATTATCAAGAAATAAGTGAAATTCTTATCAATTATAATGTTTTTTTTAACAACTTTTGAAAAAATGCATTCTTAATTATTAAAAAAAGTTGGAGCTCAATATAAACTAAAGAATATTTGATTTTATTACCTAACTGACATAAGAAAAAAATTTTAGTTTTGAACTTTGCTTGATTAGAATAATAAGAAAGAAAAATTTTAACTTGAATATATTATAATTTTTTTTGCTATCTAGAAACTTGTTATTCATATTTTATTGATCTTATAGAATTTGATCTATAAATTAACTCAATCAAAAAAGTAATATAAATATACATAGTACTAATTGAAATTATATCATTTAATAATCAAATTATTGCTGAATTTAATAAAATATAATAATAAAAACATTGATAAATTATTTTTAATTATTATTACTTAACATTAAAAATATTAGCAAAAAATTAACAAAAAATTTTTAGAAATTTGCATATTATAATAAAAAAATTTTTTTTTGTATATTGCAACAAAAATTTGATAAAAAAATTGATATTGTAACAAAAAATTTAGTAGAAAAAATTACATACTGTAATATAAAATTTAGCAAAAGTTACAAATCTAGTATTAAAATTTGATAAATATTTAAGAAGTTAACAGATTTTATAAAATTTATTAAAAATTTACAAAAAATTACAAAATCAATTGACTAAACTATTTATTATTTTCTTCTTTCTCTTCCTTCTCTTTCACTGGCTTTTCTTTTCTTTTTAAAAATTTTGGTTTGACTTTTTTAAAACTAATCACAATTAGTTTTATCTTGTTAAATATTTTCTAAGATTTTTTGCTTTTTTTTTCTAACTTTTTAACTGCCCACAAAGTTTTATCTATTCATATACTTTTCTTAATTTGTTTTTCACCCTCTGAATATATTAATTATTTCTTATATTCAGTAATTTTTCATCTTTTGAGTTTAACAGTCAATTATTTATTCTTTTCTATTTTTTTTTCTTATTCATATTCTAAAATTTCTTTCAAACTGCATACATAATCCAACAAGCTTTTTAATAATATCATATTATAAAAATATAAATTATTGTGATATTATTTATGAGTTAATTGAAATACTTGAATTGATTTTGAATATTTATTCAAATATTTTAACAAATTCTTTAACTATAAGTAATTATAATTAATATTGTAA